TTACCCAATTGTCCAATCAACTAGAAGAGCACATGTAAGTGCGAGATGAGATGAATTACAAACCTTTTGTGACCTCTTTGTACAAAATATCTTTTGGTCAAGGTGATATTTGTAGTAGATGTCCTTTACGGGAAATGTCAATCACTTTAAAAATATACTGCAGTAGAAAGTGGCACCTCACCTTGAAAGTGCCACTTCAGACGCAATGCTATGGCTGTGGACAAGATCCCGAAATTACCTCGTCCAATTGTCCAACCACCTCAAATAACACATGGAATGGTGAGGCGAAGCGAAGTATTGACCTTACCTACCTTCTTGCTTTGTCTTCGCTTAGTTGGAGTTCACGTGACATGCCTCGTAGGACTAGGCATAACGAAGTAAACAGAAAAAGAAATGCATGTCAATTTACTTCGTAAGAATGGTAAACTGTACCAATAAGTCGAAAATAGTATTGAACTACTATAGCAAGGGCAATAGGTGTTGGGTTATGTGCACATATAATTTAATTTCGATGTAATAAAATGATATTTTTTATAATAAATAAATTATGAGTTTATTTATTTATTGTTTTTGCATTTTATATAATATTGAGCTTGTAAATAAAAGTACAAATGATCACCTGTGATAATATAAGTTGGATTTTGTCCAAGTTTCACTTTCACCCCAGAACGAACAAAATGTTCTCTAACAAAGACTTGAAATTTATATTGGTTTTGATTCACCATACATTATTAGATACCTTGAACATTCAACAAATAATTCATTTATTACACATTTTCTAAATTGTCATTTTGATTAAATGACTTTTTCAAATTTGGAAAGGTAAAATAAATCCGCAAGAACAGCATAAAATTTCTTGAAAAATGAAGCAATTATGTCTCACTTGATCCCCATTATAGTAAATGTAAGTAAAAAGTCAAAAAATCATTCACTTCAAAAAGTTGTAAATCAATTTCTTGATATATCTGTTGACACAAGGAATGTGATATAATCATATCTACTAGTAGAAAATACTTCAGGAAAAATTAATGTCCATATAGGACAATCTACTATAGCAAAGAAAAAATACGTGGAAAAAAATCAACTAAAAACTTTAAATGAAATAATAGTAAAAAATATTGATCAATCAAATACTGATAATGTGATTTTAACATAATCATAAAATGTTTGAAAATAAGGAAATTTTAATAAATTAATTGTATTCTCATAAATTATGGCATTGAAACAATATTTTCACATACAATATATTTGCCTTTACTTGCTCTCATGCAAAATGATAATCATCAACCACAATTTCTTATAACATTCAAAATAGAAATAATTGATCGAAAAATAAAAGGAGCCATGTAGACATAGTTAATTGGGGAGTGCTACATGTACATAATTGTCTACATAATGGTGTCCATAATTACATGTGGCACTGAATCCAACTTTTAATTCAAATTTCACACTTACACATCAACAATTGGATGATTGTCACATCACATTATGGACACCATTATGTGCAATAATTATGTACAAACAGAATTTTTCTAGTTAATTTCCTTAAAAAAATGCCAGATGTTTGGATATATAGTTTGAAGCATTGAAAATATAATCCATGTACGATACAAGTGACATTTGTAAAGAAAAGAAATGAAAACAACGAAATTACTATATACAAAATTCAACTCATGGCCCAAACTTTCTCACAAAGACTTGAAATCAATCATGAGAAAACGTATTCTCGTGTAATGGGCGCCATAATATTTAGATTTTTAATTAGTTTGATCTTGTCAAAAAGGCTTAACATACGCCTTATGGATGTAGTTTGTATGATTCAATTGGTAGTGCGATATACATAAAAATTTCTAGAGGACTTAAAGTGCTAGAAGTATATGATACATGCCTCAAAACTATATTCTCAGTTAAATTGTAAATATAATTCTAGAGGACGTATGTGGTATAATCATCTTAGTGAATACTCGTTGAAGAGGGTTATAAAAATAATTTTGTATATCCATGTACTTTCATAAAGAAAATAAATATTATATTTACATTTGTGAAAGTTTATGTTGATGATTAAATTATATAGGACCCCTTAAAGAGCTTAATGAAACTATAGATTTTTTTTTCGGGGGGGGGGGGGGGGGGGGGGGAATTGTTTGATCACTTGATGTGACAAGATCAATTTCCCCCTACTTGAAGATGGAGAAAATATTTTTGGTCATGAAGTACCAAGCCTAGGTGCAATTGGAGCAATAACCAATCTTGAAAATTGCATTGACAGATATACTTTTTATTGAATCTGCTTACTAGATATAGCTTTTCATTAACACAAATATATTGGAGTGGTCTTAAGCACATTTTCGTTAGCCAAGAGGAATTACTGATACGTGCTATTTTAATCACAAAAAATAGGTTCTTCTTTACTAGGATATGCACATTCATGTATATATCTCTTTGATCCACATAAAACTAAATCATAAAGAAGACATATGTATATGCATGGAGGAATAGCATTGTCATGGAAATTTATGAAATAAACCTCGACAGCAACATCTTAAAATCATTTTAAAATTATTGAAATTTATGAAGTAAGTCGAGAATGTGTACAGTTGAGGAACATAATTCATCATATCCAATAAGAGATATTTCAACAATATTGTATAAAGACATTACAGTTTGCATTGTACAATTCAAAGAAAGCTATAATCGAACACTGCAAAATACATCATATTTCTTCAAAATTTTTCTATATGCATGAGTTTTAGAAGACTAGTGATATTGATGTTCAACAAATTTGCTCGTGTTTTAATGTAGCGAAAATGAAACTAAAATTCAAATAGAAAAATAAAAAGAAGGTAGATAGTCTTTCTTCTTTTTGTTGTTGCTTGAATATTTTATATTCAGTTCGACTTATTTACACAAAAATTCTTGACTTCTACAATTAAAAATTGTTACATGAGATGGAAATACGTTGATTCCAAAACTTACGACGATCAATATTAGAGAAAGTAGGAACACTCTTTTTTATTCATGTTTCACCAATTGAATTTTTCTAACAAGATTTTTTAATGAGACACCTCCTTGATACTCCAAATTGTTTTACGGTTAACTATATTTTTTTTTTCCCTTAGTTTCATAGTTTGTTCCCTTTAAATTTTCCCCAGACAAGAATTTTAATGAGACTTTTTTTTTCTATAGATAGTCATTTAATATCGAGTATTGTAAATTAAATTGTTATATGCAAACGACTATTCTATCTATGCATCCATAATTCTTACTTATAAGTATAGAATTTTAGTTTTCAATAAAATACAAACAAAATATTTCACTATATATATATATATATATATATTTCTTTTTTTTTTTCCCTTTTATTCTCTTCTCCTTTCTCCCTAATTCATAACATAATGAAAATTTTAGAAATTAGGAGGGAAAACAGGTAAAAGCAAAAGGTCTTTTTTATTTACCCAAGAAAGTAAAAGAAGATAAATAATGAGACGGCGTTAATGTCGGATGTGTTCTATTCCCGACTGCACATAGAGACGAAAGTCATTTAAAATGTTCTGAGCGTCAAACGACGGCGCGTTAAACGCTACCTGTCGGGCTGTCCCTTGTCGGTTTTTTACCATTTTCGGCCATAACAGACCTTCTTGTCTCTTCCTTCATGCTTGATTCGTGCATGATGAAAACGAAGTACGTACTGATCTAAGTGAGAGACTGAGCTTTTCCCATGCGATTCCTTCTTGGAGTACTATTTGCTTGTGGGGCCTATTTTATATGCGTGATGGTCTTCGTTTTCAGTTTGCGGGTGATGTGAGGTTGGTCGTCTAACAAAGTCCTTTACGGTATAAATTAAAATTAAATTTTAATATATTTTGATAAAAGTTAATAAAATGTGTAATCAAAAATTTGTGAGTCTCGTGAAATATACGATTAACTTCGACTTGAGATTTTTATTAAATTTTAATCTTCACCGAAAAGGGACAAAATCTGCTCATTTTTGTTGCAAAATATCTCTATCTATTGTCCATTGAGCTATGGCCTAAGCCTTGACCATTGCACCTCTATACATGCAGGATAGGAGGACACTTTTTAATGGAGGTGAAATGGCAGAGTTAATCAATTGAAATAATTCTTAAATTTTATTCCTTTTTGGTAAAAATATTAGTTTCCTAAATTAGGGGTTTGGTTTAATTTTGTTTAGAGGATAACTAATGTTCTCTAAAGTTGTGATAAATTAATCTCAACTAAGATTAGTTCTTCTTTTTTCATTTTTCTTTCTCTTGATTATGAACATTTGAGAATCCCTTTGGATATATGTTTTTTCATATTCTTTAAAATTCCTTTTTCTTTAATTCATTTTCAATTACTAATTCAAATAATAAATTAATTTTAAAGTGGACTCATAAATATTCTATATCTTCGAAACAAACATTCTTTAAAAAATAAAAATAAAAATAAAAATAATAATAAAAAATTCTTTTCACAAAATCTATTATTAGAAAATGTACCAATTAACAATATATCATTTATCAAATGAACTTCATAATGTTAATTAAAGATACGGGAATATTTTCATGACATATAGTGATGCTTTTTTATTTTTCCATTATTTTCTTTATAATTTAAGTAATCAATATAGAAAGCTTTTCTTCGACTTTTATGTTTGAAAATTAAAATTGTACGACAACTTTAATTTTCCATAATGTGTCAATTTGTAATCGGATAAATAAGAAACTAGACAATAAAATTGGACAGCGGATTTCAACTCATCCAAAAGTTTAACCCGATTGAAGAAATTTCTTCTCATGGAAATATTTTCAGTTCTTTGAAAACCAAATGAACCAAAAGTTTAATTTCAGATAGCAAACAAAAACCACAATCAATTAACGATCAATATAAACTCTAAAAGTAATTAAGGAATCGCCAGTTCTCCATAATCGGAAGCATCTTCATGTAATACATTTTTTGATATATAATATAATTCATGATTCTGAAGCATTTTTGTTTTCTTGAATTAAAGACAGATATGGTAATGGACGAATTAAAACTACGACAATAAACTGAAGTTAGATAAACATTTCCATTCAGAGCCAGAGAGCTCCGGCTTCCTTGAGAAGAGGAACAAGGGTGCCGTTAATATGACAAGCCATGACAGTCTCGATCCCACCCAAGAATTTCCCACCAATGAACACAGCCGGAACCGGCTGTTGCTGGAAGAGCAGACGGTGGATGTCATGGCCATAGGCATCGCGATCAAGTTCAACTATCGTCGGCCCAACTCCGAGGCCAAAGAGAAGCTGCTTCACTACATGGCACATGCAGCAGCCACTTAACGTAAAAACCACCACCGCGTTGCTAGTAACCAATAGACTCACCTTCTCGTATACTTTCTCCATTCTCGCCGCCGGCCTGGATTCTTCAGTACTCCCCATTGATGACTCTTCCACCACTACCTGCATGTTGGTTTTAAAAATTTCAAGAACTGGTTAAATTTGATGGTGTGAGTTGGTCAAATTAAGTGTGGTTGGGGAGAAAGAAATGAAGAGGAGAATGTATACACACATATATATAGAGCAATGGTATAAATGCATGAAAAAGTATGAGAAAAAAGAGTTCAAAAAGGGAAATAGAAAGGACAGACATAAACCTCTGTTAGTTGAAATTAAGAGCAGAATTCTGACGGTCTTGATTTCTCCTAGTCAGGGTTATGTCTTTCTTCTATATATCTTTATTGTTCTAACTAGAAACACAAAGTACCCATCGGATCAAAGGACAACCTCTACAATGAACTTTAGGGCAAATTACTGCCACTACCTCAATTATTTGATCAGACATTAGTCAACAATCCCTCATGAAAAGTTTTTGAAGTTTCTGGAGAAAATATAATGTTATTTTTCGATTTAAGCATTACTTGTTATTAGGAGTGGCCAAAAAGTGCATTTCTTTTCAAATGACAATTGTCTCTTCTAATACATATTATTTCATTTTTGTTCACATAAATTAATTTTATAGTTGATGTAATTGAAAGATTATAGAAAGATAATTTTAAAATCGAAATAAAATTTCGTTTCATAAGTTGAATCGAGAATCACATCATAATCAGTTCAATTTTAACTGAGATTAAAGGCAATTGACTTATTTAGTGTCATTTTATGCGAAACATGTCCAACATAAATTACATAATCACTACTAAAAAAGAGCTTTTCACCTACAGAAAATTACCGACGGATGCAATCCATTGGTAATTATTCACTCATCCGTTGGTAAAAATTATTCACTCATCCGTTGGTAAAATTATTCACTTTCAACTACGAGAATCAGCAACGAATTTTTCGTTGGTAATGATGATATCTCTTTACCAACGAATATTTTGTATCTCATATAACCGTTTAACATTTAGATCTTTCACCTACGGAATATCCATTAGCGACGTACCGAATATTACCAACAGATGCAATCTATTAGTAATTAGAAACGGATTATCCGTTGGTAAAAGTAATTCAATTTCAACTAAGATAATCGACAACGAATTTTTCATTGGTAACGATGATATCTCTTTACCAATGAATATTCTATATCTCATGTAATCGTTTAACATTTGAATTTTTCACCTACAGATATTCCATTGGTAAAAGTAATTCACTTATCCCACATCAAAAGTTCACAACAAAATCTTCAGAGTTGCCCTTTATAAATTAATTGTGGTCCAATAAATGGTTAAACAATATTTTGACCTTTCAATTCGGTTGGCTAAAAGTTAAAAAAATTAGAATTATTAAATAAAAAATAATAAATAAATAAATAATTTTTTTTATACCATGTCTCACACCTATGCAGATATTTACAACATTGATTTTTACCAATTGTAATGATAGACATTTACCAACGGAAAATCGGTTAGTATTGGTTAAGATTTTTACCAACGAAAATTTCGTTGGTAAAATGTTTACTCTTTACATGCGGTAAGATCCGTTGGTAACTATCAACGAACCTCATATTAGCAACGGATTTGCAGTTGTAAATATTCTGTTGATAAGGAGTAATAGCAACGGATATCGAGATTTTAGGAAATCTGTGCCTGAAACCATGTTTTTTAGTAATGAATGTTACACTTTGAACTGTTAAGGAAATTATTACGTTTTGCCCAGCGATGCAGGTCACATGGCAACTACCTAAAAAAGAGAAAGGAGCCACACAAGGCACGTACTCTACATCACCTTGCTCTTCCAAGCCTAGAATGAAGTTACCATGCAAAAGTACAAGGTGACTAAGGCACCTTAACCGAAGAGACCACCCTATTCGAAGTGTGATGCAGGAGGAAAGGCGCTACAAGTTAATGCAATGTATTTCTAAAGTGTCTAGCATTTGCTTTACAAGGCATTCACTATGGACAACACTTCAGCCTAGAGATCTTATGTACAAAGATATTGGAACATCTGAAAGATTTGGCTACTCTGTTGTACATGCTATCATTCAACTTTTTAGTTGGCAAGCTTAAAACGTAACATGGTTACTCTTCAATCTATTTAAGGTCACTACATGCCTAGAACAACTGGGAATGATACTTGTTGAGTTGACCCATGAGCCGTTGAGATGAGATCACCTGTCAAATATTCAATGGATGTTACTTATTTCTCTCTAGTATAAAAGCTCACAATTATTATCTTCCAAATGTAATGCTACTACACATATCTACAATATATTGCTTGGTATTCTCTTTTTGATCCAAATCCTATTACTTACATCCATTATCTCTCATACATCCAAAAAAAAATTTCTTCCACCCCTGGCTAACTTAAGCCTCGAAGTGCCTGCAATCATCTTCTTTAATGCTAGAGATATGAAGATGTGCATTTAACTCTTGTCCAAGTTAAGATTGGACAAAACTTTTGAACCAAACTGAGCAGTTCTTCTTAACTTAAATATCCAAATGGGTATCTAAATTGAAATTCGACAAGTTCGATTCGATTTTCGATTCTAGAACAAGAACCGAATAAGAACTGAATCTTCAATATTTTTTATTTATTTATTTTAAATAAGCTATTATTTTATTTTTTAAAAATAAATTTGCTAACTAGTTAATTTAGCTCAAACTCAAAAATATGATTTTCTTATTTCTAATTTTTAGTCTCAGTCCAATTTAACCAAATTGACCTAAGTATTACCCAAATCTATTATTCTAGCGTAGTGCCTATTTACCATTTTGGAGAAATCGAATTGAAGCTTGATAGCGCCTTTTTAATTATTGTGAGCTTGCTATCTTTATCTTTCTATGATTTTAACAATCAAAACTATGAAATATTCAACAAAGAGATACGCAAAAGACATATAAGATAAACTATGTTATTTTGTAAGAGTTAAGATTAAACATGCTATTATAAGAATTAATGTAACTTTGTAAATATTAAAAAAATTAATTACTGTATAGAACCTGTGAACCGAATGAAATCGAACCGAACCAAATGGAACCAAACCCAAACAGTTCCATAGTTATATTTGGATTCAACGGTTCCATTTACTAAATACCCAAAAATTTTGGATCCAGCTCAATTCTTATGAAAACTAAACCGAACTGGATTGTGCCCAGCCCTAGCTAATTGTGCAAGAAATTTACATATGTAAAAAGTGGATCTAAAATCTGTTACCACGTTCACACCAAATTTCGACTGAATTTATTTTTTTTTATCAGATTTGTGACCAAATTCATCTTCAATGCGATTATTTGTAACCGTCTAATTTATTATTGTGTGTAACCAAGTCTGTAACTTAAGTTATCTGTGATTAACTGTGATCAAATTTATCTTTATTATGACTAACTATGACTAAATTTGTCTTCGGTGTGACTGTTTGTGACCAGTTAATCTTTCTCTGATCAGTATTTCATAGATCAAAACTCATATACAAGTACACCAGACATACTTGGACAAACAAGAATCAAGTGTTGTATACAAATACTTCGAACATACCCGAACGAACTAAATGAATATGCTTACAAACGATAGGACCCAATGCCAAAGGCTCAAAATGAATTAAAACAAGCGGATACGAAGAAAACATAACTTTGTATATATGTGTTTTAATTCGTCTTATTATATTATTAACTTGTGGTATAAGATCTTCAAAATGTTTCCTGTTACGTGCCGTTCATAAGTGGTAAACGGAACTAGCAAGTGCAATCTTTTTGTCTTTGCTTAGCCAAGATGTTCCTCGAACCTCCCTTTTTTTTTTTTTTCTTTTTTTCTTTTTTTTTTTTCGCATCCAAGTGTAGAATGGCCAAAAACTTTGTAAGTGGAGCAAAATTTTGGCTCGTGTCCAAAATGAACTTCATGTTCTCTTAAGTTACCATTAGGCAGCTTTATCTTTACCAATTGTACTAACTCAATGGATGCATCCACTTAAATGAGTACTTTCACATAGGATAATCTTCATTTGTGTAGAAGTAAGTTTATCCATCTATATTCATTTATCGACTTTGGAAACAATCTTTCCCAAGGCAATTGTGGTCCAAAACTCTAAAGGCAAACTCGATAAATTGATCCACATCGGCATAGATCTAATTTCTTTGTCTTCGAACTCAAAATAACAGGGCATGACTTTTAAATTAATAGTCCCAAAAATGAAATAGGGGCCTCCGTGAAGCGCACTCAACCTCTCGCATCAATTTTAAATTTTAAGATCAACCATCTGCTAGAATGCACAAAGTATTTGTACTTCAAATTCTGTAAGTCGCACAATTGCAGTAAGGCTGTTTTTCTCGGAAACCTACTCACAAAATACTCAACAAGACTATATCCCCAAGACTCCTCTACGTCTACAACATCATTTTCGCCTAAAATCACTTCTTGTTGATTTTCAAATGAGTACGATTTATACCACCATCAAATTTCTTGTTATCATTAAAAGAGGTTTACCCTTGAAGCTTGAAGAGGCTTTTGTCTATCAAGTACAACCTCTTTCGCCACTTGAGGTTTCCAGTTTGAGCTCGTTGAATCCATGTCTTCGTCACCAAGTGTTTGGGACACACTTCGTGAATTTATAACCTCATCATTTAGCCCTTTTCCAGAAACCTTTTCCAGCTTCTTCAGCATCAAAATTAGGACCATTAGCTAGGGATGAAGATGCATTTCATCATTGCCTTAGCATTGAACTGCCTTAGCTGGGATTGCAGTCCGTTGGAGTGGAAGTATTCTACTGTGTTAGCCTTTTTTCTTCTCCATTATATTTGACAAATAGGGAGCTGGAAGGTCTAACCAACCACAAACAACCTAACTTTAAACATGGCTGAACAGTGAAAGCTGGAGAAAAAACTTGAATCCAAGATGAACAAGAACCGCGAATAGCCTACCAGGTCAATCATAACTGTGACTAGAACTATAAATGGATCGGATATATACCAGATCTTTCTATATCCGATTCAATCCAATAAGAATAATTTTTAAATCTAATTCGATAATCCAACGAATATTTGATTGTTAAATCTTTATCCGATTTGCTATGTTATCAGATATTCGAT